ACACATTTGGCTGGGGAAGAGCAGCTCACTTTCATAGAAATAGTTTAACAGGTTAAGCTACCTTAAGAAACTCTAGTTCTTCAAGATCCAGAGGTTTAGACTTTTTCTATTATCATTTCTAACCTATATGCTAATGCTCACATATATGTATGTGCATATGTGTATTAATGATGATATGTTACGTTGCTGTGGAGTTCGTGCTGAACTTTTAATCTTTATTTCCTCCCATTTTTCTTCTGTGTGAACATTGAGGTTTATCCCCCAAGTCATCTATCATCCCTCTTTATATGACATAGTTAACTGTTGGTTTTTCATTGTAATAAAGGTTGGAAATTTTACTGCATGGCAGTTTGTCATTGCCAGCTGGCATGAACCTCTAATCCAAAATAACTGGTCTCTATTGCCAACTATAATCTAAGAACTTCTGGATTAAAATCTTAAATTATACCCTTCATCTGGATGTCTTTATTTGGAAAATAAAAATCCTGTTCTCTTATTTTGCTCAATCTTAATCTTGGAAATTTGTTTTTATAGTTCCCTTTTTAGGAGATAACATGCTTCATGACCTTCAGTATGACTCCATAAAGGACTTCACATAGTTAAAAATGACTGTATTTTATAAAAACCCAAGATTTCAGAAAATCAATTAGGATTGTGCAGATGATAACCACAAAAAATAAATAAAAAACTCAAAAGTCAGCCTATTAAACTAAGAATCCATACTTGTCCCAGATAAATCCCAAGGTGAAAAACATAGCCATGACAATTTAATGCTATCTTGGGGGCTTCAACTCAAATAAATGCAGCAGAGAACTGTATTTTTTAGCTCCAAAAGTCGAACTCTACTTCCCATTCCCTGGGTTTCTCAGATGCTACTTCTGGCTTACTTCATAAGTAGCCACAATGAGCTAAATGTTTTGTCTATGAAAAAAAATGGCCAAGGACACTACCATTCTGGATTTACATCTTTTTAAGGATTACTTCCACTGCCTTACTGCTACATTCTGAAATTGTTTGGATCTTCAACCCAAAAATATGCCTTGTCCTTCAGGAAATCCTTTTTACTGACTTCTGTAACGTTTTGCACCTAATCTGCATTATTTTAATGTATTTCATTTACGATGTATGTTGCATTAGCAGCATGAACAAATCACTGAGAGAATAAAACCATATGTAATGTAAATCACAAATAGTTTTAGTAAACGATAATAGGAAGAAAAGTAATATTAACAACCAATTAAAATTACCCAAAATGTCTTCTAGAGGTATCATTTTATTATGTATTATGTTATATGTCATCTTTCCTCCAAAAAGATGGCATAGTACATATAGTACATAGTTCTCTCTTACCTCCACAACAATCTGTTGGCTAAAGTAGGCTGTTGTAAAACAAGTGAGGTTTCTGACTGAATGGGGCTATGAACCTGGGTTTAGTCTGACACTCTATTACACCATACAGGTTTCAGGTGATTGTGAAGTAAGGATTGTCATGGTTGTCACTGAGGAATGCAAAGGATGCATTTCAAAGTTGGCTGTTGTCATGGGAGGTGATAAAAATGATCAGACAGGCTTTCCCCCACAAAGCTGTGTAATGCCATTTCCAGAATTTATGGTGCTCTATTGTAAGCTATTTGAGACCGAGGGCTTTTGGGCATAGATGTGAATAATGACAGCAGGGTTTGGCAGGTTTTGCATTCTAACAGGAATCATAAATAATGTCCCCCTAACCTCAAGGAAAGGAAGGAGTTGGAAAAAGAGATTTCTTTTGGCTGTAGAGGTTGAGTGAGCATTAGTAGCTCCACCTCAAGCCAGATGGCATTGACTGTCCATACTAGCTGCTCGTTGTATTCAGATCATGGCAGCTTCCCTCTAGGAAGAGGAGCAACTTGTAGCATTTTTGCAGGTTAGAAGTTGACGATATTTAGTCCTTGTTTTGAAAGGATTTCAGCTTCTGTGGGACAGAACTGAAGTAGTGAGGGGGAGATCAAATTATCTGCCATATTTTTGCTTAATTGATTTGGGCTGCATCAAAGACTGTTGTTGGGCTGAATATTACCTTCTATATTCTGGATAATTTCTTATGCTCACAAAAAAGGTACAGATTTTTTGGTCTGTTTCACATGGGAAAAAAGAATTTAAACGTTTGGAAGCATCAGGTAGGAAATGACCAAGGGAGGAATGTCTATCTGACTCTTCCATTCATTTTTTTTTCTTTAACTTTGATAAAACTATGCACAAGTTTGCAGCATTTTCTGGAAATGGTTAATGTTATATGATCACCTGATCAAGCTACAAGGAGATCCCTAACACTACTGAGAGTAAGCACACCCAGAGCTTTTCTGAAAGCTAAAGTCAGAAAAAGATCAAAGAGAAGGAATGTGGACAGATGTACACACAACCTAGCCACTACTATGAACTTGGCAACTTCCTCATTCTCCAGCTTCCCCACTGAGAATTGTCACACATTAACTGTTTCAGTTTTCTCCACCTTTAAATTTCCCTCAGACTTCCTGAAGAGGTTGAATTAAAAAGGGGAAATAGTTTGGCTCAACACTAGAAGCTAAGCTTCTCATTATTGTTGGAAATATTCTTATGTCATTCTTGACAGGGTAAGAATGCATATCTTGTGTTTCTGCAATCTCTGAACCTCACATCTTCCAGTAATATCACTTGGATCCCTACTGATCTACATTGCAGGCAGACAGATTGCAAATCCAGAAGAAATCACAGTATTCTGCCTAGGAAGTATAACATTGAAAATTAAATAGATTTTGGGATGGGGGATATTCTCTTTGCCTTCTTCATATTCAGTAGCAGAATGCACAAGCGTCAAATAAAATGAATAGTTCTGATCTGTTTTCATCCAGCAAAAATGGAACATGCATGGACTAATGTGTGAAAAGGAGAAAGAAAAGTAGAAATTAGAATGTTGGGGAGTGAGGTAATAAAAATCAATAATATATTCATGCTATATTCCCACTTCCATTGGAATAAAACCCTCAAAGCATCTGGTATTCCTCTTTTTAGCTTCCTGTGAAGATTATCCTTCATTGCTAAATGCTAAATGCTTATAAATATGTTTATTGGATCCAGAATACATCATGGGGCTTGCTTAGTAAATATGTGTGTGTGCATGCATATATAATTTGGCACTCTTCAGAACTTTGAGGCAAACTGTATCAGCCCTGATCTGCATATCCATTGACAAGGGATTATGGAAGTTGGAGGACACCATGTTGCTAAACCCTGCATTGTTTAGGATGCCAAGCTCCTCATGTAGACCTTGCTCCTAGGATTTTCTTCTGTCATCCCTTGAGATGGCCAAGAGGAGCTAAATCTATCAGTTGCTCTGACATACATATGACCTCAGAAAACCTTTCAGTCTTTGACAGAGAAGTGCCAGCTGCCTTCTTGACCCTCAGAATGTCCACATGAAAGATAGTAATAATGGAATCGGCCCATGACTCTGACTTAAAACCACTGCCAGGTCTGCTGAGCATGCAGCACTCGTTCAATTGCCCCCAGTCCATTCTCTCTTCCTACAACACTCCATTTAACTATACCTGGCTCCTATCCTGGTCAGAAGCCATGCTGGACTCACTGAATGTGCTGCTCCTAAATTCCCTCTTTCTCTCCCTCCAGCCCCACTTCAATGACCTCGCTCTTCCTTCTGGCCCATCACTTCCTTACTTAGCTGGCCCAGTGACTCAATTATGGTAGTAGGTACAGTATATAGCTAGTTCCCAAACAGCCATGATAGCACTGTCTCCTGGCATCAATTGAATGCCAGCTCACCATGCCTTCTTGTTAAACAAGGGATGGGGGACTGCTATGGTGAAGCCCAGCTGTCCTTGACTGATGCAGGAGCATCTTTGCATCAAGAATTTAGGTACCTCAGACACACATAGATCAAATAAGTATCAACATCTTGTGCATTGCAACTTTAAGATTATAAACTCATTATGAAGCCCAACTGTGACCAATGGGTTCATAATGGGTTTTGAACAGTGTTAATTTTAATATTGAGTAACTTAATCTTTAAAATGTAGTTTAGTCCATTGATTTCTTTTCTTGGAAGGCTAGCAAATTCCACTTTAAACATCAGACTTAACCTATACATTGGAAAGTTAGTTACTTTTAGCAGGATCTCTTTGCTGTTGTATGCAGCAGGGGGCAGGGCTTTTCTACATTACAAGAACACCAATGTCAACTCATTTGTAATGGTGATGTTTATTTTTTAAAAAGTGAGATTTACAGTATAACAATATCAGTGTTTAAAACAATAATATTTCCTTATTACTGTGTTTCTTGCATTTTTCCCCATGAAAGAACAGATAATATGTAATATCAAGCAGATACTAACACCAAACTTCCCAGGAGTAGTGTCTTATCTTGTTTAAATAGAAATATATAAACAGTTTGTTGATAACACTGTAGGAAATATAACTTCCTGCAGGGCTGGAAGAGGAGGTTCAAGATGTCTTCTGTAAACTTTGCAAGTATGACCAAGGTCTTGCATATTTTCTGGGTGCTGTAGTATGAAGTGGTTTGCAGCAGAATGTAGCTGAGAATTTTATATCTAAAGTGTATGGCACAGATTTTTGTAAGAAAATAAATAGTAATCAGCTGTCTTTTTCATTGCTCTGTGTTTATGCTGTTCCAAGGATGCATTGCCAGTGATAATACAGAGCAACAATAATGGGAAAGGCATATTCTGATTAACCTGGTGTCACCTCTAACTACCATGGTCATGCTGGGTGGATGAGATGGGATTTGTAGTCAAGCATGATAGAGAGCTCCAGATTGGAGAAGATTGTTGAAAAAAAGCAGCTTGATTTACTCCAAAGGAACAGTGTTTTATAAAACATTAATGCAAAATTGAACATGCTCCACTTAGTATGTGGAGAAAGCCGAATACGCCCATAACAATTTAACCAGGGGTAATAAAAATGCCAGTTCTTTTCATCCAGTGTCTCACCTCTTTTTTTTAATCACCCTAGTATGAAGAAGGGAAAAAGCGAAGAAAGCCCAACTACAGCAGCGTTGACCTCTCTGAGGTTGAATGGGAAGACAGAGATGATGTGGTAAGTGATGGTTCCGTCGCTACTTGTCAGAAAAGTCCGTTGCACTCACTACCAGCTTGACTGAGCAGCAGGAGGCAAAGGAAGGAAAATGATAAGCCTCTTTAAAAAAAAATGGGTAAAATTTATTTTTTTCTCATTTTGTGTTAGCTCTTTCCCAACAAATATATTTCAGTTATGCTTGATGTAATGAGTGTTTTCATGATGCTTTAATTGTGCTTTTAATTTGTGTTTGTGTGTCTATGTAAATGTGGGGGTGTAGATATTAATTTACTTCTTTATTTGTTGTGCTTACAAGCCCATCTTCCTCTGACAGTTCAAGGCAGCCTCATGGGGAGGGTCTCCCTTCATTTCATCCTCACACAACTCTATCAGGTTGAGCTGGAACATTAAGGAGAGGGAAGGATGTCCAATGCAATGGATAGAAGAGGGTGTAAGAGGAGCAGAACCTTTTTTTTACCAATACAGTTTATGAATTTTCAGGTCTCTTGTGCAGAGGTCCACTTGTTTTTACTACCTACTCTGTTAGTTAAGTCAGTATATCACCAAGAATGTAGATAAATAAAATCTCATCTTCCTCTGTTACCTTCTTTTCACAAGATGTGCTGTAAGAATCCTCTGACATCATTCATTATCCTCACGTCGCCCCCTTTGTGAGCAAAATGTACACAGAGCAGCACTTTCCTAGAAGTATTGATCAAAGTTGCAGTGCCTTTGATCATGGAGGCATATGAAACCCTTCACAGCCTTACATTTCTTAAGTTTATCTGATGTCTTTTTCAAGCTCTCCAGGTTGGTGATCATCATGGCAGCACATTTGGCATGGTGATCATCATGGCAGTACCTTTGCATGATGTACCCTTGACCTATGACATGGAGCCAATGGGAGGAAGCATTTTCTTTGATTGGTTCTGAATTTTCCACCATTCAAAGCTTGTTTCTACTGTCATGAAAGGGAGATGACTTCTTTCTCCTGTCTCCCTGGCTTTCAGTCCTGGGATGAAAGTGGTGCAAGCCTAGGAAACAGAGTCTGGCCAGACTGGTGTAGTGCCAGCCAGCTCAAAGGCTGCACCAGGCTTGAATGGCATGTGGAGAGCTGCTGTTCAGGGTCCGTTGGGGGAAGGAGATCTCAGGAGTTCCAAAGGGATGACAGAGTGGCCACGAATATCTGCAAACTAAGAAAAGAAGTGCTAAAAGAAAGACCAAACATTTCTAGCCCTGTGTTCTTTGGGGAGCTCTTGAACCCACAGCAATAGCGGTAGGTCTCATATATTCTCAGAACCACCTTTTTTTTTTTTTTTGCATCCTTGATGCAATGTAGATGTAGTCAGGCTTGTTCTGCAACATGGAAAAAAGGGTATAAATATTCTAAAATAAATGTGAGACAGCAGTTGACTGCTTTATTGATTGATTGATTGCATCATATCCTGCCACAATCCCACAGGACTCTTGGTGGCTTTATAGAATCAGCAAACCATTAGAACATGCATGAGTACAATAAAAATAATAAAAACCTAACAACCTAAAAAACAACCCCAAATCCAAAACTAACTAACTAACTAACTAACTTATTTATTTATTGCCTTTATATCCCACTGCAATCCCACAGGATTCTTGGTGACTTTACAGAATGTGCAAACTATTAAAACATCTACAGTACAATACAAATAATAAAAACCTACCAACCTAAACAATCAGAAATTTAAATCAAACGCCCTCTGGAAGAGCTCCATCTCCACCTGCTTCCAGAAGGTCACCAAAATCAGAGCTAATGTGAGAGGCCACTCCCGGGGCGAGGACAACACTCCTAGCAAGAAATAGCAGCCCCTCAAAGCCCACACCTCCTTTAAATGGAGAGCCACCAGCTGCTTCTCCCATCCAGATTGAACTGGTCAGGTCAATTCTAATGGGGGAACATGGTCCTTCCAAAATGAGGGTACTCCTGCCATGGTTAGATGAATGTGAGTGAAATGGAGGTGGAAAGTATATCACAGGAAACAAAAATTTTAAATGCCATATGGATTCCAAACTCCTTTGCTTTGGCCTCTTCAGCAACATTCAGATGTTAGCTCAAATGACAGCAGCACAGCAACAAAAATCTGTACTAAGTTTTGCTGGACTCTTCTATTTCTCTTATGCTATAGTCTGAAATACCAGAAACTCCCTACTATTTATAAGATGAAATCCATTTAGTTCTGTGTCCAGGTGACAGACTCTAACCCTGAAGGACTACGTTCATGCTGCCCATCTAATACCTTATCTTGGAAATGGGCTAATCTTTGCAGTCTCATTCTTTTCATTCCAATCAAACTCCATATTGCTTCTTTCTAGTCATTTTGCAGTTCCCTTCCATGCCATTCTTTATTTACATGTCAATTTTCTGCTGTACTGTATCAAAAGTTTTCCTTATGTCCATGGCTTAACCTTTGCCTGTTTTTCTGTTACTTCCTCCATAAATCTGATATTTTAGGCATGTTTCGTTTTGCGCGAATCCATGCTGACTGTCCTTAATTAAATCGTAACTTTCCAGGTGTTCTCCTTTTGGTTTCTGTTATTTAGCTTTTCCCATAATGTCTGTACCAACTAAAGTCATGCCTGCATGTCTGCCTTTTCACAAATCTTTCCTTGCACCCTTCTCATATATCAGCAGTACATTAACAGCTCCTATATCCTTCCAAACTCCAATCATTTCTAAGAGGTTTTGAATATATCAACAGAAGTTTCCCATATTTACACTGTCACGTCTCTCTGAAACCTGGGATTCATCACGTATCTCTGCCTCTGGAGTACTGTCAGCATTCAAATGTAGACATTTCTTGATCACTTTTCTCTGACTCAAGTTTCTGCCTGCCTTCTTCTCATGTGTGTTCACACACACATTTCTGCCTTGTCAGCCCAGTACTGTCAGCATTCAAATGTAGACATTTCTTGATCACTTTTCTCTGACTCAAGTTTCTGCCTGCCTTCTTCTCATGTGTGTTCACACACACATTTCTGCCTTGTCAGCCCACCCTACTCAGTTTTGACTTATATTATTTATGAATAATAATAACATAAGTAATGTCAGTCTTTTCTGTTAACTAATTTCTCTCACTTTCACTGCCTCCTCAAGTCATACTGCCCATTTATTTTGATACTTGTGATTTCGGTTTATAAACATAGATTTTGAATGTTCTTAATTTTTTTTTCCTGCATTTTCAACTTGAATATTCCTTTTTAAGAATATCTTGTTTTCTATTCTTTTAATATTTCAGTTGATATCATTTTAAGATTAGAATTGAAAATTAAATTGCCCAGGTCAAAATACCCAACTTCCACAACCATTGATGTTTCCTGATATTTCAACAAAGCAATCTGTGTACTTCTCCACTGCACCTACTGGAACTATCTGAGGAATTAGTCAACAGAGTGAGGTGCTGGGCAGACTCTCTAGAGTGACTGAAAACATTTGTAAATAAATAAATGCAAATAGAATGCATGTTAGACTGGGCCTTAGACCTTGCTCTGTTGAACTGTCCTTCAGAATGCTGAATCGGACAGATGATCTCCAGGGGAACAGACCCAGTGCCTCATTCTGAAGAAGGACCACCAAAGGGAGTCTCTGGCAGTTGCACTGGAGACCCCTCCCAAACTCTTTAGTTGTGGTGGTGGTGGTGGTAAATGCCACAATACAGAAGTGACCAAAGTACCTGTCCAAGATAACCAGGTATCAGAGCCATCTTCTGAATGTCCCTTCTGCCAAGTGAAAGTAAATTCTTACTGTCCAAAACTATTTCCACAATTGCAGTTGTTCTTCTTTCATTCTAGATACATTACGTTTACTTTATTGACTTGTATGAAACAAACACAAGATCAGTTCAGCAATCTACTGAGGGAAAACTATTCTGTATTTTGGATCCCATTTCTAGAAGGTATTTGGATGAGAATAGCTATATTCAGTAATGCTTTGGAGGTTCTTTCTTCCAAAGAAATAACATTGGAAAACAGATTTTCTGGGAGAATTCAAGGCAAATCTTGAGCATTGTTATTAAAACAACCAGCAGAAATACGCAGCTATAAAGAGTGTTCCCAACCTGGCACCCTCCTGACAAATTAGGTATGTTGGCTGGGATCAGTAGAGCTGTAGTCCAACCCATCCAGGGGGCAGCAGACTGAGGAAGGTCAAACAACAAAACAAATTGGAACAATTAATCTCAAACAGAAACTAGGTATACCCTTAGTTCTAATTAAAGTGGTAAATCTGTTGTCTTAACTACCCTGCTTCTGATTTGTAGATCGGAGCCTAGATAACGCATACCAAAACATCTCCCTTGTGCAGAAAACTATATATATAAAAGACACTTTTTAGGTTACACTTCTAGAAGGGACATGTATTTTATATTTTTATTTCATTATGTGGAGATTTTTTTTTATGCCAAAGCATGAAATAACCTGATTCTCTCTCCCTAACACCCACTAATAAGTTTAAAGTGATGCAGCCCAAGTACACATTTACCACCTCAGTGAGGACTAGGCTGCAGATACATTTGAATCTATACTGGCATCAAATGGCTGTCTAGTGAATTGGTACAATCCAGCTGTGGAAACATCTCTATCTACCTCAAGTGAAGATGTTCTACTCTGGTCTACTCTGGTTTATTCTACTGCCTGTCTACTATGAAATTTTGCTGCCATATCTCAAGGCGCTCAAGTGACTTCTAGGTACACTATAATACCATAAAACTGAGCCTTGCTACTTTTTTCAAGCTACTTTCGTACATCATTCTGGGTGATTTTTCACTGGCTGTTGCTGCTATGGAAGTGGCTACAAACTTGCTCACCAAGAGCACATATAGTGTTATCCTTGGAGGGAAGCGCTCTACTCAGCAAGTAAGGTAGAAGCCCTACATCTTTCCTGCCATCCCCATGGGCCATGCTGAAGGGCATGGGTTGGAAGGCTGCTGGTGCTGACAATGCTGTCCTGGATGTTGGACTGTTACGGTGATGTTGTATGTTGGCCGCTCTAAGAATTAGCCAGCTGCCTGATTCCCAGTTAGTGATAATTGCTTTTCTAGCCATATCCTCACGACTGGGGAGGGGGTCAGCAGCGGTGGCGTTAATCACTGTGGGAAGCCAGAGTTGCAGTGGACGGTAGGACCCCACCCTTGAAACCTATCCCATTCGGAACACCAGCACAGTCTCACATGTCCTGCAAAACCTAACTGATATGTTGCTTATTAGAGGGACCCTGAATATAACCTGCAGGAATTTGAGCCTGAGTCCCTTAAATGGTGCAAGGGATAAAATAAATAAATATTGTTGGGATGTCCTGATAGAGGAGGATAAGAGGAGGGCCAGGTGGCATTCTGTTAAATCAGTGCTTGGGAAATGTTTATGTTGCCCTGACATCATTTTGTAAATGGGGAACTCTCTAGTAGCCATTTTGTGAGAGTTCCCACAATACATTAGCAAATGCAAAATATATCAGCCCTAAAATATTGGGGACTTGAAGGAGAAAATACTAGCTTGTATTCTGATACATTAATCCAGAAGCAGGCAACGTGCGGCCCAGATGCTCAGATATGCTCACTGATTATTCTCTCCAGGTTCCCTAACCTACCTGCATTTTAATTAAAACAAAAACAAAAAAACCCAAGCTGGTATGATGCAAAGCAGAACAGCAGCTCCTAACTTTATCTTTTTAACAATGGTTGTGGATTCTGCACTGACCCACAGGAATTCCAATGTTTTGTTTGGAACTGTGCCCACATAGCCATCAAGAAGAACAAAATAAGTTGGGGTGGCAGAAAACAACCAGTGGGCCAGAGTGGGTAGCGTTCTTTTGTAAGAGGGCCCATAGCATCCTCTCAAAATTACTAATAGCCCCATAAGATTACCTGCCCCCAAATGAAGCTGTCTGTCTCTCTGTGTTTTTATTCTGTAAATGGCTCTCTAACACTACATCTATTAATAAGAGTATCTGTTTTAATTAGATTAATAGAAGCATAACTTTATTTACTGACATTCAATATTTCTTTTATAATGAATTTTTAAAAAGTGCTTTATATACAGAAGTTCATGTTTTATTATTTTAGCAATAATACTAATGTGGAAGAAAGATGTCCTACATTCATATCACTGAACACCAGTTTGAGCCCTGTTGAGGTAGCAAAACAAAAGTCTACAGAATAGATGAAAAACTGTTATCCCAAGCCAAAAACGTATATTCAGGGGGTAAAAAAAGGAAAAAAAACTTATTCCCATATGCATACTTGATCTTAAAAGCTACGAGAGTTTTGGAGCCCCTTTTTGTAAATTTGCGACTTGCCTGAGGGCTGTGTGGGAGTGGGAAGCTGGAATACTGCAGGCTCTGAGATGGAGAAAAATGAGAAACATGTTAAAGATAAATGGAACAGTTCTTTAAACATTAGAAAGTAGATTGGTAATTAAGACCAGCTCTCCAAGTCCAAAACCACAAAAGTTAAAAAGGAAAAATATTTCCAGAATTGCCTATTACACATTACATTTTTATATAAAAAAACCTTCAGTAAAATATATGTTTTATTTGATAATGCCTGCCAAAAACATTTTAAAAATCCTGTACACTTGTTGACTGAAGAAGAAGATAGTGGGCTCACATCAAGATGGCCCAGAATTAAAAAGCTGCCAACATTGCAGCTTTAATTTGGTCAACCCTACTCAGATTTTTCACAAAAATAAAACAGCTATTTCACAGACAAGCAAGCTTTGCTCCCCTGTTTTTTTCAGCTCTGAAAGACAGCCCTGGACTTCAAGAAAACAGTCACTGTGACTTGTCAAGGAAAAAAGAAATGGCACTGTGGTCCAATCAAGTATCTGTAGAATCAGAGAACCAGAGAATTAGAAGGGCTCATTTAGGCCACTAAAGTCTGATTCCCCCGATCAGCGGAGGAATCTAAACTGAAGCATCTCCCCAAAGATCACTGTCTAGCCAGCTCTTGCATGCATCCACTTTTTAAACTGAAATAAAAGCTTCAAGTAGCAGTGCTCGAGGAATATAATGTTTCAACTTTCTCATATGATTGGATATGATCCTCTGGTTCTGAACTAATTTGGGAGATCTGAGCTGGGCCTGTCTCTCTCTGAAAACACATTAAAGTGCATTTTAATGGGATAGGTTTCACTCATTTTAATTCATATTTAAACTTGAATGTTTATGCTGCTTTTAAATGATAAATTAATGCAAAAGCAAAATGAGATAGTGTTGTGAGTCTATGTGTGATCTATTTCATCCAGCTTTAGCTTAGTGACAGCTCACCTTTGAGTCAACTATGAAATTGAACTATAGGACGCCACTGGGCCCTTACATCAGCTATATATACTTGGTGGAAAATAGATATTAGACCATATAGGACCTCAGATTAAAGGGCGGGGAGGGGGAGTGGTTCAAGGCCTAGAGGAGGATTAATGTAGAAGTGTGGACAACTCTTTAAAGCAGTTGCATCTCTCCTTGGGACAACATGGCTGTCCTCTGCACCTGCAGCACGATCCAGGGGAAAGATAGCTTTGATGTAAGGTAAGGCAGACAAGTACTACTTGTGTGTACCCACACACTTTCTGAAGCACCTTTCCCCCTTTCATATCCAAAGCACTGAAAGGCACTAATATTTGGTATAGGCCAATCTTATCCAACCTGATGACCTCCAGAGGTATTGGACTCAGGGGCAAATGATGTGTGTGTCACACCATCATGATGCCAAGGATGCAAATTACATAATTAGCATTTATGTCATTTAAGTAATTAGCATCATTCGTGTGGTGATATTATGGCATATCTGACATCACTGTGGCTTCTACTAGACACTTATGATTGGACTTCAGTTACTGTAATCTGTAAACCAAGACTACGTAAAAATATATTTTAAATTCATTTAGCTGATTTGTCCATAAAAAAATCTTGGAAGTTGTTCTTTTCTTAGGTTTGGGGAATGTTGGGCTTCTTTATTTGGGTAGTTAATTTCAAAAGTGTAAAGGTAGGATAGTTGTATTAGAAAAAATACAGGAATATTTTGAATGAGAGAGAAAGAAAAAGAAAGCAGTATTTATATACAGTATTTGTGGCATCACTTGGGTTATGAATTCATGCATTCACTCCCAATTCATATGTGAATGAGACTGATTTTTCTCTTGTAGTCTGTAACTAACTTCCATTTTAACATTTGTATGCTTCTTCCAAAACTAAGCTTTCAAAGCAGCTTATAATATACTGTAACTGGAGTAGTAGTTTCAGTCTTAGACTAAGACCTGGGACACCAGGTTCAAATCCCATTTCAGCCATGTTTTATTTTATAATCTATCATTCAACATGATGCTCTTTGAAGCTCTTAGACTGAATTCCCAGCAGTTTAAGCCAAATAACCTTTGGCCCTGGAAGTCATAATGCTAGATTCTATAACTACCATCATTTGTAGTTAAAGAAATTAGAGTGGAAAGAATACACGTGTACCTATTCTTCCTTTGGCCCAAATATTTTTTTAAAAATTACAACAGATATAAAGAGAAAAACAAAGTGTTGTCTTCATTCTTATATATATATATATATATTTTTATAACCCCCCTTTTTTTCTGTTTAAGCTTCGAAATGCAATGGTGAATCGGAAAACAGGAAAATTCTCCATGGAAGTGAAGAAAACAGTGGATAAAGGGGTATTTTGTATAGGCAATTCTTTTCCAAGAAAATTTAAAAATAGAACTGTATACTTGTGTTTATTAGCTATAGATGGGATTCAAACATTTGCATGTCTCTGTATTATGCTATTAGTAATCTTGCCATAGATTATACTGAATGTTTGCTTTTTTATTTAAACCTGCCTAACTTTTCATATTAAGCCTCTTTTCTTTCTTGAATTTAGAAGCGAGTGTTGGTGATGACAAATGACTACTATTATACAGATATCAAGGGGACCCCTTTCAGGTAGGGCAGCTCATAATAAATGGAATATTTCATCAGGCTTATTGCAATTGCATTTCTTCAAGCCTCATGAGCTCATTAAAAGCTCATCAGAAGTGACTGACAATAAAATGTCCCTGAATGATGCTGAAAAGAGCAAGTTTCCAGCATGTTTTTCACGTTTTATTCAGAGATGGAAAATTTATGAAAGGTAAATTCCCTGGCCATGTCCCAGAGCTGCCATTCAGAAGGCACTCCATTCTTTGCTCTGTTAAGAAACACACTTCCTATCTCAACCCAAATTTTCCCTGCCATTGAAGAAAATGTGCCCTCCTTTTGGTACACAGCTAAAAGAAATGCATTTGTATGCATACTGCAGATTAGGTGTGGCTAACAGAATATTGCTAATACACACTTCTAGGACAATGACACATTAGTTATAAACCTATAGTCTACAGCACTATCTACATGCTGTTCCTTTTGCCTCAGTCACACATACTCAGAGGCTCAGAGAGTCATGCACACACTCAGAAATGTTATTCATTTGTTATAAGCAATTACATGAAGCGTAAACACATCTTGTGCTCAAAGAAGGAAGAATGACTGCAGTGTTTCACTAAAACGTTCCTCATCCACAAAATAATTAAACAATATCCAGACTAGGAACATTGATCCAATGATGCAACACTTAGTGATCTTAGATGCACTAGCAAATAAAACGATTAGAATTTATTTATGTAGAGCTTAGTTCTACATATTCATGGAATGCCTGTTCCAGTAACTGAACCACAAATCAAATCCAAAGCACGACACAGTCCATATGCAGTCCTTTTCATAGTATAGTTCTGCCTTTAGTGAGCAGGCTGGAGTTCATTTCTGGCTGTGACACTGACAGGCACCCAAGACTGTCTACTTGTGCAATAAACCAGTGCTATGTACACATTAGAGCTGAGCCATATGCACCAATCAGGGATTAGTCAGGAGGCAGGACTGATGCCAAGATTTAGAACAGAGGACCATGCTAACTTGCACTGGAGACAAGACTTCATTGTTTAGGCAAAGCACAGGAGGCCTCAATAGCCCATCTAGATGAACATAGCCCACTCCTTTACTACTTAGGGAGATTCTCTAAGCTATCATTTTGGAAGGTTTTTGTATGGAGCGGTTGCATAGAAAACTAGAAGTTCTTCTAGTCCAAACTTGGATTCTCCTGATGCCTTGTGATTTTCATCCCACAAGTCAATTGTTCATGAAATAGATTGTGAATCCAGATGAGAAAACTGTTGAACCACCAGTGCAGTTTCCTCTCTTTTCTCCTCTTCTTCATCAATCTTCTCTTTCAAGTGGCTAACTTTCTTATGTTGTCTTAGCTTCATAGCAGTACATGTGACTTCAAATTCCACACATACCTTTTGTAGCATATTTCCAGAATGAAGCATCTGGTGAAATTTCTTCTCCATAGATCTACTCAGAACCTTCTCACATAAATTTGATATCCAACACACAGATTGGATCAGATTCCGAAGTGAGAACAATTTGCTTTTATCCTGTCGGTCTCATGTTGTCACCTGTACCACAGCTAAATCAGTACTTTAAAAAATGTAAGAAACATTTTAAAAATGTAACAGCTATTGTAACCCTCCATAGTGATGTCCTTGTGTGATAGTATTTTATGGGAAAAAGCCCATGGCAATATTGTTTCCATCACACAAATATTAAACAAAGTTAAAATATGTAAGCAAAAAATTATGCCAAGTGTGTCATTAGGCTCCGATTTTCACATTCTTGGATTTCCTTGCTCTCAGCAGCTCTGCTAGGTCCCACACTATCAGTAAGGATTATTTCTCCATACAGATGATTTTCATTTGTAGAAAACGACCTCCTCCTTTATAAGCCTATGGGCAGATTCAACTCTTGGCTGAACAACACTGACCTTGGTGAGTGTTCATTTTTGCTTGCCAGAGAGCGCAGGGGTTACTGCACCCCTAATAAATATACACAGTCCGTTGCTGCTGGCACGACAAACATGAAATGGCATCAAAGTGGCTGGTTGGGCAAGACATACAACCACCAAGGTCTTGGAAACAAAACAACATTGTTTCTAGAGCAGGAATTAAAACCTTAGGGAGTAATTATCTTTTCCTGTATTTTCTAGCTGTGTTTATGCCACAGTTTTTATGGTCTGCTTTTTGTTTATCTGCACAGTTTAGGTGTGGCTCTGTCTAGAGGACATGGCAAATATTTTTTCAGAGGGAACGTGACAATAGAAGAAGGTAATACTTTCTTGACTCAATCAGATTCCCATAAACCACATTAGTGGCTGATAATAATGGGCCCACAAATCTCCCAATCAGATTTAGCAATGTATTGTTCAACCCACTTGGTGTGTATTTCACATCTGTGTGCATGCGTGTGTATCTGTGTGCAAATGGTAAAGATTCTTTCAGTGTGAGCTCGACCCTTGACTTTTCTTGGCAGCAACACCAGAAGTGGTTTCCAATTGCCTTTTTCAGAAATACCTGTTTGACTTCCCAGTCTAGCATGCAGCCCTAAGATCTCCCATCCGATCACTATCAGAGTCCAGCCCTATAGCTCTGGGGGTTCAGTCAAAGTCCGCTAACGCTACCACTTGCTGTAGCTGAACTTACGTGCACATGATATCTAATTGGATACCTAATATGACACATTTTACATAAGATTAACAGGATACAGAAGTTTAAACCATTTAAGATTCATTGCAATAGAAAGAGAGAAGTAATCTGGATGCATCTTTATATTTTTTTTTCCTTTAGGGCATTCCATTCATCAGTTTTAATCAAAGCTCCAGGTCCCCTACTTTTTCCTCTGGAATTGTAGATAAATGCTTGCTGTCAAAACCTATGATTTTAATAATACTAGGACTGAAGCATGGATTGGGTCTGATTCTTTAGACAGCATTACATTGGGAGAGCTTTCATTCTCCTGCAGCCATGCAGTTTTGAAATCTGTAGTTACTGAACATAGCTTGTGGCTGCAAAGTCATTCATTTAGTCCTGGTGTCTCCAATTAAAGACACTTCAATAGCAAGTGATGAGAAAGACGGCTGCTTGGTATGCAGGAAAACCACTGCCACTTTGTGTAAAAAGGACTAGGTTAGACCATAGGGCGGACAATCTTCCATGCCACTCTTGGTGGTTCTTCCTGCCATTTATAAATTCCCAGGACCCCTACTCACCATTCCCTGATGTCCAGCTGATGCTCTGCCTCAAGTGATTCTGCTGCTATTACTAAGTAGGGATCTGGTTTCTCTTCAGATCATACAAATCTTTCCATTTTTTTTTTAATGATCCAGCTCCCAATCGCTGTTTCCCAACCCTTATTATTAGCAGTATGAAAACAGCAATCTAAAGCAGGGTTGCCTTTCTTTTAAATTGCAGTCTGATGTGGAATAAAATGGAGTGAACTTAAAGCTGGAAAAATAGCAAGCTGGGAAAAAAATCAAACTTGGCAGATTTGTTTATCCCTAACTATTTAGTTAAATCTAAGCAAGAGAAGATCATTAAGTACACAAAAGGACAGAAGTTAGACAGCTGGAAGACACCTGCATAATCTGCTGCTCCTTTGATTGTGGAGGAAATAGGTGCTGCAGTCTGTAAAGAAAGGGCAGGAGGACATTGGGAGGGAAAGCCCCCCCCCAAAAAAAGAGAGAGAGAGAGAGATCAAGACAGGAATGAAAAGCTGAAATAGAGGAACCAGAATTTCCTACCTATCTGTGAGTCATTGATGGAAATGTGACTTGCCATCATTCATTAAGGCATGTTGAGGGTTTTGTTGTATTTTTCAAGAAAGAAAGCTTCTCAACTCCCATGAATGTTATTCCAAGACAGAACTAGTGCTGCTATGTGCTACAAAGTGACTCTCTGTCATTTACCCTTTTTACAGGATTACATGATTTAGAACAGCCTGATGTCTCTTTGGCAGACGAATGGTAAATCTGCATGCAATTGCCTTGTGATATTCTTTCTGTCTGTACGTGGTGGGCCCCGTCTCCTCCTATGGAAAGACAAAGGGAGATCATGCTTACTAACATTTGTTGCTGTTATTTTTAACCACGCCGTGTCCTCAGGTCATATTGCAACACAGACTTGCATCCGGAACACCGCCAAATGACTCAACTGAAGGCAATTAAAAACTATCTCACAGGGAAAGAGCCTTTGCTTCTCTGTGAGTATCTTTCTGATCACAGTTGCATTCAGATGAATGTGGAACATTTCCTGAAAGAAATAAATTGTATTGGCCTTTTAAAGAAGGATGTCACATCTTTATTTTTAATGGAATAAGGCGCCCAAGACAAGCAACAGGGCTCCTGCCTCTTTAAGCTATACCTGCCTTCTTCAAGTCAACTATTAAGGGTTCAGGAGTCCTGTCCTCTTCTGTACCTGCCACACTTCACTATAAAACTGAGTGTAGCAGCATGCGTGAAAGTAAGTTCCCGTAAGTTCGCTGTGGAGTTGTATAGGGTTGCAGCCCACAAGATTGACTGTGTGGGTTCAGATGAGTGTTTAAGTCTCAGCTTCAAACCTTCCATATGCACAGTGCAGATAATTATCACGACCAGCCTTACACTGCAATCGAAAGGTAGACAAGAAATGCCTCATCTGCTTATGACAGTGTTGTCCAAACGTGGCCACTTTAAGATGAGTGGACTTCAACTCCCAGAATTCCCCAGCCAGCATGGGGTTAGGGTGGCTGGCTGGGGGATTCTGGGAGTTGAAGTCCACTCATCTTAAAGTGGCCACGTTTGG